TTTTTCTCTTGTTGAATTAGTCCTGGTTAAAATTAGGGGCTAAAACATGGTTTATCAGCAAACTGTGATTGTTCCAAGATGTGCTGACTAAATTAGACGATACAATTACAGAACGTTTCTGTCAATAAGGGCAAAGGGTTTGTATAATTTGAAGAGATCTGGACAATTGAATATAAATTCATAAGAGAAAGAACACTGAGGCAGAAGGAGAAAACAGTTTGCTATTGCTAAAGTCCGTTACATTATGTATGGCTGATACATGATGCCAAAAGGAGAAAACTATTTTCAAACACTAATTTCTTCTTCTTTTCTGTTTGGTCTTAATCCTTCTCACCGTTTTGTGGGAATTCCCTTCAACTACGTTTACAAGCCATTGAGGCTGTTGGTTACAGCTTTCAAAATTCAAATGTTACCACACATTTTACTTCTAATACAGTTTACTTAAATACCCTTAATTTTCTAAACAAGATATTACTCAAAAAACATTCCCATGCACGTCAAAAAACACAGCTGCATGTAACCTTCTGCATCTTCCACGCACAACCTGCAAACTTGAGCATTTGACACATTTCCAGCAAAGCATCACTACATCAACACTCCCCCTTGATGCACATGTTGGAAACACCAAGTTTGAGTCTAAGTTCCTCAAACTTGGTTTTAGGCAGACTCTTAGTCATAATGTCTGCAATCTGGTCCACACCCCGGCAGTGCAACAAGGTTACTTCCCCATCATTTTCAGCTTCTCTAACTGCATGAAATTTGATTTTGATATGTTTGGTTCTGCCGTGGAGGACAGGATTCTTTGCCATAGCCACTGCTGATTGGTTATCACACCATATAGAGGTTGGCTTATCTTGATCTTGCTTCAAATCAAACAGAATTTTTCTGAACCAAACAGCTTGGTTCACAGCTGCTGCGGCAGAAATGTATTCTGCCTCTGCTGTGGACTGAGCCACCGTGTCTTGCTTCTTCGACAACCAACTAATGGCTCCCTCATTAATATAAAACACATACCCTGAGGTACTTTTCAAGTCATCTAAAGAACCTCCCCAATCTCTGTCTGTGTATCCTTGCAAAACCAGTTTTTCTGCCCTTTTAAACCAAATGCCAAGGTTTGAAGTTCCCTTCACATACCTTAACACCCTCTTTGCTGCTCTATGATGTGATTCACTTGGACAACTCATAAATCTGGAGAGATAGCTTGCTGCAAACATCAGGTCTGGACGTGTGGCTGTTAAGTATAGCAGGCAGCCTACCAGACCTCTAAACATGCTCTCATCCACTTCTTTTTCACCATCATTTTTACTCAGCTTCAGGTTAGAAACCAAGGGTGTATCTGCAGGTTTACAATTCTCCATTCCAAACTTTGTGAGAATTTCATTTGCATACTTTTCTTGATGCACAAATATTCCACTTTTGGACTGAAAAATTTGCATGCCAAGAAAATATGACATCTCCCCCAAATCTGTCATCTCAAATTCAGATTGCATGGATTGTTTGAACATCTTCAACTGATCTGAATTGTTCCCTGTCATCAGCAGGTCATCCACATACAATGACACCACAATTAGATCACCTTCAGCTTCTTTAACATAAAGGGTATGTCGTTTGGACTTTGTACATAGCCTAGGCTGTTAAGGTGCTCATTTATCCGGCTGTACCAGGCCCTAGGTGCCTGTTTTAGGCCATACAAAGCCTTCTCCAGCAGGTACACCTTCCCTTCTTCACCCTTAACCTGATAACCTTCAGGTTGGTCTACAAAAATTTCCTCATCTAAGCAGCCATTTAGGAACGCAGATTTGACATCAAGTTGGAAAATTTTCCAACCAAATTGAGCTGCCATGGCAAGGATCAACCTTATAGTATCATGTCTAGCTACCGGCGCAAATGTGTCAGTGTAATCCACCCCTTGTTGTTGTGCAAATCCTTTTGCTACAAGTCTAGCCTTGTATTATTGGATTGTGCCATCAGGATTTAACTTTAGTTTGTAAATCCACTTTACCTGAATTATTCTTCTGTTTTCAGGTCTTTCAACTAGCCTCCATGTATTGTTCTTCTCAATCATAGAGATCTCTTCTTGCATAGCATTCTTCCAGGCATCTGATCCAGTAGCTTCAGCATATGTTCTTGGTTCCAACACAGCCACATTGCACCTTGCATAAACATCAGCCAAGGTCCTGGTCCCTTGAACTGATGATTCCTCATCTGCTTCAATTTCACCTTCATCAAACACATTTTCAATCGGCTGCTGCATGTTCCTGTCAACCTCAATCTGTTTACTCTCCCAATTCCACATTGTATTTTCATCTATCCTCACATCCCTAGTTATCACAATCTTCTTTGTTTCAGGAATATACACTCTGTAACCCTTTGATTGACTGCTGTAGCCGATGAGAATGCCAACTTCAGCTTTATCATCAAGTTTAGTTCTCTTCACTGCAGGAACCATGACATAACTCACACTTCCGAACACTTTTAAATACCCCACTGCAGGTTTAATTCCAGTCCAAGCTTCAACTGGAGTTTATGCCTTGACTGACTTGGTTGGCAGCCTATTCAGGAGATGAACTCCAGTGTTTACTGCTTCAGCCCAAAAGCACTTGGGAAGTTGTTTTTCTGCCATCATGCACCTAGCCATCTCCATGATGGTCCTATTTCTTCTCTCACTAACCCCATTTTGCTGTGGGGTGTATGGTGTAGTAAATTGATGCCTGATTCCTGCTTCAAGACAAATAGAACTGAATTCTTTTGAAGTAAATTCAGTTCCATTGTCACTTCTAAACACTTTGATCCTTGCTCCAGCCTCATTTTCCACCATCAGTTTATACTTTCTAAACACTGCAGGAACCTCACTTTTCAGCTTCAAAAAGTACACCCATGTCATCCGTGTATAATCATCTATGAAGAGTATAAAATACCTGCTTCCACTCAATGATGCTGTCTGCATAGGACCACAAACATCTGAATGGATTAGCTGAAGTTTTGTTGTTGCTCTCCAGGACTGATCCGAAGGAAATGAAGGTCTACTTAATTTGCCAATTTGACAAACACTATAGAGGGTACTCTTTTCTTCAATCTCTGGTAAGTCCTGGACCATGTTCCCTTTCTTCAACTCTTTGAAAGCATTTTAATGGTAATGTCCAAGCCGTTTGTGCCAAGTTTCTGACTCTTCCTGTCTAGTTAACAAGGCAGATTCATTTGTAGTTTTCCACTCAATCGAAAAACTTTTCCCTAGCATTTTTACCCTCATCAATTCGACTCCTTTAGGATCAAGTATGGTACATGCTTGATTCTCAAAATGCAAGGAATAACCTCTCTCCATCATCTACCCAACACTCAATAAATTTTGGCTAATTCTAGGAACATACAACACATGAGAGATTATTTTTGTACCTGACCAAGTTTGGACAACAACATCCCCTATGCCTTTGACCTCCATGAACTCACCATTTCCTATCTTTACTCTGGAGCAATATGATCGATCTAGGTTCACAAAATTTTGCAGGTTTGCAACCATGTGATTTGTACAGCCGTTGTCAATTAGCCAAGCTTCACTGTTAGTTTGTGTCATGTAACAAGTGGCCACAAAAAGTTGTTCAGCCTCCTGACATTGTTGCTGATCCTCTCCAACTTTTGCTTGTTGTATTGGTTGGTTTGCCTTGTTCTTGCACACCCTTTCAATATGCCCAAATTGCTTACAACTCCTGCACTATACACTAGGCCTGAACCAGCATCTTCTCTCCGGATGCCCTTTCTTTTTACAGTGAGTGCAGGCTGGAAATTCCTTGACACCACCAGGTCTTTCCCACTGATTGCTACTCTTCTCTTTCCCTTTCCTATCTCCAGCATACTTCTTTATCTGTGCTTGTGCAGGTTTGCCTTTGTAGCTTGCAACTAAAGCACCCTCACTAGTGTCTTCTTGCCTCAAGAGCCTTCTTTGCTCTTGAGCTTGGAGAGCATGGACAAGCTCAGTCAAAGTGATCTGAGTCATGTCTTTAGAGTCCTCTAAGGAGGAGATTTTGGACTCAAATCTCTCCGGAAGACTCACCAAAACCTTTTCTACAACCCTAAGATCAGTCAACTCCACTCCCAAAAGTCTGATTTTGTTGACAACATTCATTAGTCTATCAACATAATCCTTTACTTTTTCAGTTTCCTACATTCTTTGCAACTCAAATTCCCTTCTTAGGTTAAGAATCTGCAGCTCCCCATGTACTCTTCTCTCAATTTATCCCATGCTTCTTTGGGATTTTCGTATGCCATGATTCTTGTGAAAACAAGATCAGTCACAGCAGCATGTATGTGAGAAAGAGCTCTTGGAGCTTTGGCTGTTTCTTCCTCATGCATCCTTAGTTGGTTCAACATGGGATTCTGTCCAAGTGGTGGTGGCTGCCGGTTTTCTTCCACATACTGCCAAAGTCCCTGTCCACGAAGGAAAGCTTTCATCTTTACTGCCCAGATGTGGTAATGATCTCCGTTGAATACCGATGGAGCCATCAATGCAGATTGCGTTGCCATGCCTCTGTTTTATGTGTCTGTCATAAGAAGAAGAAATAACAACCACAGGTTTATCGTTTTGAGATGAAGAAAGTTTTTTGAGATATGATCGAAGGTTTACAATGCTAAGTTTCTGGATTTTGTAGTGGCTCTGATACCATTTGTTGGTTTCAACCGGAGAACATCCAAGAGAAAGAAAAACAGAGCACCATAAAATACTGCAAAAAGCTTATCATATTCATTGAAGAAAGATAGCATATAACACGTAACAACTCTCTGCTAATTACACCAACTACAGCAGACATTACAGCTTTCCAAAATTCAAATGTTACCACACATTTTACTTCTAATATAGTTTACTTAAATACCCTTAATTTTCTAAACAAGATATTACTCAAGAAACACTCCCATGCACGTCAAAAACATAGCTGCATGTAACCTTCTGCATCTTCCACGCACAACCTGCAGACTTGAGCATTTGACACATTTTGAGCAAAGCATCACTACATCAACAGAGGCTTTCTTGTTGTGAACACAAGACATCCAATAATCAATCCAAACGCCGTCCCACATCCATAACCCATCAACATAACTTTCCAACCAAAATCTTTTTCAGAGTCACTATCACCTGATCTCGGGGATGGCTGGGAAGGCTCACCGCTACTGCATTTCTTCTTTAATGGAAGTCCACATAATCCCCAGTTTCCTTCGTACGAATCACTTGAGAATGTACCGAATTGGTTCCCTTTAGGAATACATCCCATAAGGTGGTTCTGTGACAGGTTCAGCAAAGAGAGAAATGTCAAATCAGTTAACTGCCATGGAATTCTCCCGCCAAGTTTGTTTGAAGAAAGGTCTAAGACTTCGATTCCTTTCATATTTCTCAACGATGGAGGAATCTTACCTGTAAGATTGTTTTGAGAAAGGTTGAGGTGATTAAGTGCTCGAAGCTTTCCAATTACTTCTGGAATCGTACCATTAAAGCTATTATTCGAGAAATCAATGGTATAGAAAATAGTAAGAATTTTCACTAGTTTAACCTTGAGCTTTTTCACTACAAGCGTCACTAAATCATCATAATACCTATCTCCCATATACTGAGGCTTCTTTTTAACTTCAACACTCATCATGGATTTCATATTCTCAAAGTAACTCACAGGTAATGAACCACTAAAATTGTTGTTTGAGATATCAAAAATTCTCAACTTAGAGAAAGAGGTACTATTGGCTTTAGGATCCGTTACAAGGCCATAAAATTTATTAGAATGAAGAACAAGAACCTTTAATGCCGGAAGGCTTCCCAACCATTTTGGGAAGGACTGGTTTATTTTGTTATTTCCCAAATCTAGGACTTCCAAATTTTCACAATTAAGCGAAGATTTTTGGGATTGGCTCTTTCAATTCATTGCCATTGAAGTTGAGGGTCCTCAAGTCATTGCCCTTTGTAAATACTCCAGGAATGTTGCCATAAAACTTATTCTCCTGCAGATCCAACACACGTAAACTGTTGTTGAAGTGTCCCAAGCATTCTGGAATGGTACTCGCCAAGCTATTGTTGGAAAGATCAAGAACTTCAAGGGTACTCATATTGCAGATTAAATGAGGTATTTCTCCTATCAGATTATTGTTTGATACTAAAAAGACTTTCATGTCAGGTGGCGGAACTGAAATTGGTCCATCGTACAAGTTGGAACGAAGGTCAAGATATTGAAAATTCTTCCATGGAAGTTGTTTGATCCCTGTTACAAGTTGTAGGAAACATATATGTAAAATTGAATCAGATCTATAAACTCTACTAACTGTTTGAAAATATTTTTGGATCACGAATCAAAGGCACAATTAAGTTTCTTACAATTTTCCAAAATAGATTTAAACATGGTAGTTGTAAGATCAGTTAAGTTGTCAACAATATGAACAATGGTAATGGCATCAACTCAGCCACACCGTTCTGAAGATAATAGGAACCAGGAAGGAAGTTCGTCTCAGCCTATGTTTTCTGGAATTCTTGAGTCAGTTAACTATTATAAGTAATTTTTTTCACACGCCGATTCTCCCATAATCTATTTTTATATTCGAACTCAAAAGTAACACGAGTTGTCTTTTCATAATAGAAATCCGCTTGAGTAACACTAGCCTTACAAAGAGTCATACAAAGGGATAATCCCTGTTAGCCAGACTGAAAAGAGGGCAGTTTTGTAAAACTGCAACTCCACAAAAGAGAAAACGGCGTCGTTTTGAGAAGAAAAACTTTACTCTTTAGTTTATCATTGAGCTGGGTTTACTCTCAGTGTCAGTCTTCTGTCTTCCTCTGTATATAAAAAAATGTATCTCTCTATGAAATTAATAAGAGAAAAGTTCACGCATTTTTCAATTTCTCTCTTTTAGTTTTTTAGTTTCACATGGTATCAGAGCCTAAGACAAGCGTCGACGGCAACGATCTGAGCAATTGATTTTGTTTTTCCTTCTCAGCTTCAATGGAGAAAATGAAAAATGTTTCAGCTAATCCTCAGCTCTCAATTTTTTCATCAAGCCTTCAGGTCGTCACTCCCAAACTGACGAGAGATAGCTACACTGATAATTACCGATTCTGGAGATCGCAAGTCCTCTTTGCTGTAGGAGTTCATGAACTCGAAGAACATTTGACAGGTTTAATTCCCTGTCCAGCTCCCTTTATTAGCTCTGTTTCTTGTTCAATTGAGTTGAGTGATAGTAAAGCATCTAAAACCCTAGCTAAAGAAAAGCTAAATCCAGCTTATTTAAACTGGAAACGAACTGACAAGTTCCTTGTCACTTGGCTTCTCGCCTCAATTTCTGAGTGCATGTTCACTCTTGTTGCAAAATGTCAGTTTGCGTCTGAAGTATGGTTTAAGCTAGAAGCTGAGTTTGTAACTGAGTCAAAGGCCAGAGCCTTACATTTGAAGAATTTGCTTCAGATAACTCAAAAAGCCAATTTGAATATTCATGAGTATGTTAAGAAAATGAAAGGCATTGCTGAAAGCCTGTTTGCGAGTGGTCAAGTGATCTCAGATGAAGATCTTCTTCAACATATTTTAGACGGTTTAGGTCCAGAATTTGACACTGTTGTTGTCAATCTGACCTCCAAGGTAGAGTCTAAGGTTGATCCAATTACTTTGCAAGAGGCTCAGTTTTTGTTGCAAAAATATGAGTTGCGGCTTGATAGGTTTAACTCTATAGAGTTTCATGGAGGTTCGATTAATGTTGCTTCTCTTAAGAATTCAAATGGTTTACCTGGTAAAAATTTGTTGCCTATCAATGCTAAGGTTTCCTCTGCACCTACTGGTACTTCTAGTTTGGTCACACATAGTCAGTCTCAACTGCAAGGCTTACCTAATCCTCCCATAGGTTCTCAGAGTTATCCTCAGTTTAGTTCGAATGATCCTAGATCAAACTTTTGGAAATTTTGGTGGAAATTCAAGCCATTATTACTCTTCATACAGACCTATATTTGGGAGAGCAGAGGAAGAAACAATGGCAGAGGCAAGCCTATTTGTCAAGTTTGCTGCAAGATTGGCCATACAGCGGCTCACTGTTATCACTGCTACAACTCTATTACACTGGTGTACCTCCTCAAAGTAACATGTCAGAACAAGGTGGTTCTAGTCCAGCTTTTCATAATGGATTTTATGGACCTCAGTTTGGAAATCAGCAGCATTATAATACTGGCAGTCTTTATAGTTCTCATTCTGGAAGTCAGTTGGTCCCACTAATGGATCCTATGATTCATCATCTCAGTCAACTATAAATTCCAACTTGCACAGTCAATAACAGCACACCAATCTGCAAGGAAAACCATTTTTTACTCATCAACAGCAAGGGTTTCATGTCCCTAGTTAGCAAAGTTCCTACCAAAATGCAATTCCTAACCAAGCTTTTCTTGTGTCTAACCAACCACCTTCCTCAAACACACATGACTGTCCCAGTTACTGCTCCGTTGATCCAGCCTGGTACACGGATTCAGGAGCTACTGACCATGTAACTCCTGATCCTACTCAACTAATTTCCAGCAGACCCTATGATGGAGTTGAGCAACTACAAGTTGGTAACGGTGAGTCTCTCCATATATCTCATATAGGTTCCACTTTATTTCCCAATTCATTTCATTCTCAGTGTTTACATTTGCACAATGTGTTGTATGTTCCTAGAATAACTAAAAATCTCCTTAGTATTTCTAGATTCACTAAAGATAATCAAGTAACTGTGGAATTTGACTCTGATTGTTGTGTTATTAAGGACAAGGCTACCAAGGCAGTGTTACTGTAGGGAGGACTTAAGGCTGGTCTATACCAATTGCACATACCTTCTTGCTTCTCCTCTGGTTACACTTTTAGTGGTCTAGAAAAGTCAGCTACTTTGAGTTCTAGGTTTTGTAATACTTTGTCTTCAAATAAGTCAGTAGGTACTGATAATCAGTATAGTCATAGGTTGCCTCAGTCTATTAGTTCTCTGAATAACTTTCAAGATGCTAATGCCAAGTGTAATATACTGATTAGCAGTCCAATGAATGCTGTAGTTAATAACAATCATTGGATGCAAGATCCACAATTACTTTGTAGCACTCATAGTCCTATCTCATATGCAAATGATTGTACTCCTGATTTCATTAATAAAACACAATGTTGGAACACTCTGGTTTAAATCCTGTTAATTCTGAGTCTATTATGTTTGTTTCTACTACTGCTATTTCTGATATTCCTGCAAATAATAATAACATCTCTGATTTGGTTGATAATTCTGGCAAAATTTCTGATAATACTTTTGATTTTGATAATTATTCTAGTTTGAACAAAGCTGATTCTGATTCTGTTTTGCATATTGCTTCTGTGGTTGATACTGATGCACATTCTACATCTATGTTGAAAGATAATTAAAATTCTATGATTGATGTTAATGCAAATCCTACTTCTATGTTGAATGATAATGAAAATTTTGCTATGACTAAAGCTCTTCTTGTTCACAATGCTGCCATTAGAAAATCTGACACATACCACCATCATCCTATAACAAACCATCCTACAGTTTTTTAGGCTAGTAATACTAGGAACAATGCACTGTCCCTTTGGCATAATCGTTTAGGCCACCCACATGCTGATGTATTAAGTAAAATCTTACCTAACATTCATCCAAGACCTTTAGAACCAGTCTCATCATTAGGTTTTTGTGATGCATGTAAATTAGGAAAACTACATAGAAATCACTTTCCTAGTTCAACCTGTAGAGCTTCACAGCCACTTGAAATAGTTCATAGTGACATTTGGGGACCAACACCAGTAGCTTCCTTAGAAGGTTTCAAATATTACATTCATTTCATTGATGACTACAATAGGTTCACCTGGATGTATCCCTTAAGAACCAAAGCTGAAGTTCAGTCCACTTTCATCAAATTTCACCATTTAGTTGAGAGACAACTTGGTTATAAAATCAAAATCTTACAATCTGACCAAGGAGGAGAGTATAGGGGTCTAATTCCTTATCTTACCACTGCTTGTATCCAACTTAGGCATTCTTGTGCCTATGTACACCAACAAAATGGGAGAAGTGAAAGGAAGCATAGACATATAGCCGAAACAGGTCTGACCTTACTAGCCCATGCATCTATGCCTTTGCATTTTTGGTGGTGTGCATTTGATACTGCTGTGTTTCTTATTAATAGAATGCCTAGCTCAATTTTGGATTTTGTGTCACCATATCAGGTTCTTTATAGTAGATTTCCTGTATATTCTGAGTTAAAAAATTTTGGTTGTGCTTGTTTTCCATTTTTGAGAGATTTTCATAAACACAAGTTGAATTTTCATTCTTCTAAATGTGTTTTCCTGGGTTATAGTTTAAGTCATAAAGGGTACAAATGTCTTAGTTTAGAGCGAAAAATTGTCATTACTCCTGGTGTTCAGTTCAATGAACTAGAGTTCCCTTTTGCTACTAGTTTTAGTCAACATTTGTCCAGTTCCTGTTCTCCTTCACTCAAAGCAGCAGTCCCTCATAGTTCTTCTACTTGTTTTCCTTTTGTTTCTATTCCCTTTTCTAATGGTACAACTAGCAAAGTCTCCTCTGTAGTGGACTGTTCTGTTCCTAATCCTTCTCTCACTACTAACAAGTCAACTCCTAGTTCCTTATTTCAGGA